GTGATATTGTCAGTTGCTCATTCCCACAGTCATTGCTATCAACAGTGTACAAAGACATACCTAACATCAAAGACCTATACATCTGTGTGACAGACCAAATGCCTGTAGTTCCTGGAGGGCGGCGGGTTGGAATACAGGACGAGCCTGGGGCTACCGCCCACAAAGTGCTATAGACAGGGTGGACCGAAATGAGGAATCCCTACTACGAAGAATGACTTTATGAAAGCAAGGAGGGACAACTCCCATGAAGCTTACCCTAAATATAGAACACCCTAGTCCCGGGAATGCTGGTGAATATGTGATGGGGATGTATTAGAAAGGAGGGAGTTCATATAACAAACTGGGGACTTTCTATTTACAAGATGTATCAGTCACCTGAGTGGGTAGATTCCCAACACATGACTACTAACCCTCTTAAACCCCACATTAAGACTCTTAAAGGCATAGTGGCCATAGCAAACCCTACATTGGAAGACACTATGGCTGTTGACACAGGTTTTTCAGATATTAATCTATGGCTGGAATGGATGAGATATAATTCTAATAAACATAATAAAACTAACTGCTATGTCTGTGGAGGAGCCCGTCCCCATTTGGGCACTGTACCCCTGAACTTGCCCTCCGACGTAGAGACATGTTTTCTGAGCCTCTATGCCTATTATAAAACTAATTAGTCAGCATGTGAGGCATGGAAGAAGGAATATCCTATGATCACCAAGAATGTTAAGCCTCCCGAAGGTGTTACTGTATACCCAGGAAATTACACCTGTTACAATGGAATAGGCCGATTTTGGGATAATTTCACTCATGGATATTGTGCCACGTATAGAACTGTTCCACTTGCCCTGTTACAGAAACACGTAAGATTGGCTGTGTGGTGATCTGCAACTCAGGTCTAGACTGGAAGACCTATGGTGGGGGGAATGTGCCCTAGCCAAAGTTATTATGCCCATACATATAATATCTGACAATCATCAAGGTACTCCTGACACCCCACGTACATATTTCAGAACAAAAAGGAGCATCCCTGTAAAGGGCAGCTTTGACCCACACATATATATATTGATGACATAGGAGTGCCAAGGGGGTTACCAAATTAATTCAAGGCAAGAAGTGAAGTTGCAGCGGGATTTGAATCTATTCTACCAATCATTACAGCTAATAAGAATTTAAAATTGATTAATTATATCTATTATAACCAACAGCACTTTGTTAACGATACCAGAGATGCCCTTCAAGGGCTGGCAGAGCAATTACAAGTCACCTCCCAGATGACTTTCCAGAATAGGATGGCCCTAGACATGATTTTGGCTGAAAAAGGAGGAGTGTCCCTGACACCATGACTTGTTGTACCTTCATTCCAGATAACACAGGCCCAAAAGGGAAAGTGACCCTAGCAATAGAAAAACTAGAGAGTAGAGTTGAGCGAACCCGAACTGTAAAGTTCGGGTTCGTACCGAACATTAGGTTTTTTGGACCCCGGATCCAAACACGGACATATCGCTGTATGTTCGGGTTGGATTTCAGTGATTTAATGGCACGTTTACAAAGGCTGCAGAGCAGCCAATCAACCAATCAAGCGTTTGACTCGTGTGCCCTTAGAAGCCATCACAGCCATGCCTACTAATGGCATGGCTGTGATTGGCCAGTGCAGCATGTGACCCATCCTCTAGTTGAGTAGCTCCGCACGCACATGCGGTCTTATTAGTGTAGGGAGAGAATGCTGCCGCTGATAGGGACAGCTTAGGAAAGAATTCTGCAAACTAGAACATTAGTAGGGTGGGGTGCACTTCATATCTGAGAGTCAAATAGAAGCTTCAAATACCGTGGTTACTTCGGAGTTTTAAAAAGTAAATTTTTTTGGGTGCTAAATAGTACATTATTGGGGTAGTACATTAGTGGGGTGCACTTCATATCTGAGAGTCAAATAGAAGCGTCAAATACTGCTGTCACATTGCAGTTTTAAAACTTAACATTTTTTGGGTCCTAAACTGCTAAATAGTATTTAAGTGGGGGTGCACTTCATATCTGAGAGTCAAATAGAAGCATCTAATAGTGTGCTCACAGCACAGTGGTAAACATTCTTATTTTCTGGGTGTTAATCTGCTAAATAGTACATTTTGGGGCATGCACTTCATATCTGAGAGTCAAATAGAAGCGTCTAATAGTGTGCTTACAGCGCACTTGTAAAAATTCAAATTTTCTGGGTGCTAATCTGCTAAATAGTAGATTTGTGGACTGCACTTCATATCTGAGAGTCAAATAGAAGCGTCAAATACTTTGGTTACAGCGCAATTGTAAACATTCTAATTGTTTTGGTGCTAATCTGCTAAATAGTACATTTTGGGGCGTGCACTTCATATTTGAGAGTCACATAGAAGCGTTTAATAGTGTGCTTACAGCGCAGTGGTAAACATTCTTATTTTCTGGGTGCGAATCTGCTAAATAGTACATTTTGTGGCCTGCTCTTCATATCTGAGAGTCAAATAGAAGCGTCAAATATTGTGGCTACAGCGCAATTGTAAACATTCTAATTGTTTTGGTGCTAATCTGCTAAATAATACATTTTGTGGCCTGCTCTTCATATCTGAGAGTCAAATAGAAGTGTCTAATAGTTTGCTTACAGTGTACGTGTAAAAATTAAAATTTTCTGGGTGCTAATCTGATAAATAGTACATTTTGGGGCGTGCACTTCATATCTGAGAGTCAAATAAAAGCGTCAAATACTGCGGTTACAGCGCAATTGTAAACATTCTAATTGTTTTGGTGCTAAACTACTAAATAGTACATTTTGGGGCATGCACTTTATATCTGAGAGTCAAATAGAAGCGTCTAATAGTGTGCTTACAGCGCAGTGGTAAACATTCTTATTTTCTGGGTGCTAATCTGCTAAATAGTACATTTTGTGGCCTGCTCTTCATTTCTGAGAGTCAAATAGAAGCGTCTAATAGTATGCTTTCAGCGCACTTGTAAAAATTCTATTTTTTTCTGAGCTAAATAGTACATATGCGGCCTGCGGTGCATTTCTTGCAGTCAAATAAACTAAAAAAAAATAAAAATTGTTGACCGTTGGCCATTATATTTTTCGCCTGACATAAAACATTTGTTAGTTTGGTGGGTGAACGCAAAGAATGAGGAGAGCATCAAATAAGGGACGTGGCCTTGGTCGTGGTGCTTCTGGTGTTGGTGGAATCCCTGTTGCAAGGAGAGGACGTGGGCGATCTGTGCCAGCTACACGCACAAGTGAAACACCTTCCTCTGTACGCGACAGAACCTTCAGCGTTATTTGGTAGGCCCGAATACACAACGAATGGTGAGGCCAGAACAAGTACAGGAGATAGTAGATTGGATGGCTGACAGTGCCTCCAGTTCCAGCACATTATCTCCCACCCGGTGCCCTGCTGAAAGCTCAGAGTTGGCACCTGCAGCCCATGGCCATCTGTCTATCACCTCACCCCCTTGCAAATCACCCAAGCAGTCTGAGCCACAAGTCATGCAGCAGTCTCTTATGCTTTTTGATGACTCTGCTGGCGGGGTTTGCATGGGCCATCCACCTAGCCCTGCCCCAGAAGTGGAAGGGATTGAGTGCACTGATGTACAACCACTTATGTGTGAGGATGTGGACATGCAAGGACGATGATGACGAAACACTGGTGCCAACTGCTGTGGCTTCCGGCAGTGTGCAGACTTGCAAGGAGGGCAGGGTTGAGGCGTGTGTGGAAGATGATGTGGAGGATGATAAGGTCCTAGACCCCATATGGAATGAAGGTCCTGAGAGTGACCTGTGCAGTTTGGAGGAATAGGCGGTGGTCACACAGAGGCACCAGCAGAGCATAAGAGGGAGCAGGGTGCAAAAGCGGAGGCTCCTACTGCTTCCTCTTCTGCTGCTGTCTCGGCCTCTTCCTCCACCTCTGGAGTGACAGTGGCGCCTGCCACCACGCAAACAGAGGATGTGGCAGCAACGCCACCACATCCGCCACCGTTCCCAAGCATCTCCACACTGCCCCATGGAAGTGTTCAGTTGTCCATCTCCCAAACACTGGAGAGAAAGAGGAAATATGCCCCGACCCACCCACGATCCCTGGCCCTGAATGCCAGCATTTCAAAATTTGTGGCCTTTGAAATGCTGTCATTCTGTCTGGTGGAGACGGACAGTTTTAAAAACTTGATGGCGGTGGCTGTTCCACAGTATGTGGTTCCCAGCCGCTACTACTTTTACAGGCAAGCCATCCCTTCCCTGCACAACCAACTGGCGGACAAAATCAGGTGTGTACTGCACAACTCCATCTGTGGCAAGGTCCACATAACCACTGATACATGGACCAGTAAGCACATGCAGGGACGCTATATCTCCCTAACTGCACACTGGGCAAATGTAGTGGCGGCTTGGCCTGAGGCGGATAGCAGTTTGGCGCATCTCCTTCTGCCACTGAGGATAGCAGGGCATTTCTCTTTGCCTCATGTTGCCTCCTCCTCCTACTCCGCTTGCTCCTCCTCTACCACCTCCTCATACAGTCTGCGTAACACCTTCACCACCAACTTCAGCACAGCCAGGGGGAAACGACAGCTGGCTGTTTTAAAACTAATATGTTTGGGGGAAAAACCCCACACCGCGCAGGAGCTGTGGATGGGCATGGAACAACAGACTGATAAGTGGTTGTTGCCACTGAGCCTCAAGCTCGGCCTGGTGGTGTGCGATAATGGGCAAAATCTTGTAGCAGCTCTGGGCCAAGCCGGTTTGACGCACATACCTTGCCTGGGGCATGTGCTGAATTTGGTGGTGCAGAAATTCCTGAAAAACTACCCAGATATATCAGAGCTGCTGCAGAGAGTGCGGGCAGTCTGTGTGCGCTTTCGGCGTTCTCATCCTGCTGCTGCTCGCCTGTATGTGCTGCAGCATAACTTCGGCCTTCCCGCTCACCGCCTCATATGCGACGTGCCCACAAGGTGGAACTCCACCTTGCACATGCTGGAGAGACTGTGTGAGCAGCAGCAGGCTATAGTGGAGTTTCAGCTGCAACACACACGGGTCAGTCGCTCTGCACCAGACTTGCCCTCCAATAGATCCTCATTAAAGGATTTAAAGGGTACTCATTCCAATTACAGGGCCTTGAAAAAGTCCTGTATTGTAATTTATCGTCACTACCTCCCCACGTCGGGAGGGGGTAATTTGCACGCCTGCTGCCTTCCTTGGATGTGGTAACCGTTTCTCAGGCTCCCTCACCGGAATCGAACCCTGATTCCCTGTTACCCATGGTCACCATGGTAGGTGCAGAAAGTACCATTGAAAGTTGATAGGGCAGACATCCGAATGCGTTGATTACTGGGTGGCCATCCTGCTGGATCCCCGTTACAAGGACAATGTGCCGTCCTTAATTCCCTCACTGGAGTGTGATCAGAAGATGTGTGACTACAAGCATATGCTGGTAGATGCGCTGCTGAGGGCATTCCCAACTGACACTGGGGGCTCAGTGGAAGCACAAGGTGAAGGCAGAGGAGGAGGAAGAGGTCACCAACGCAGCTGGGGCACTGCCAGCACCTCAGAAGGCAGGGTTAGCATGGCTGAAATATGGAAAAGCTTTGTCAGTACGCCACAACAACCAGCACAACCAGAACCTCTTAGCAGGAGGCAGCATTTCAGCAACATGGTGGAACCGTACGTGTGCCCACACCTACATGTACTGACTGATGGGTCTGCCCCATTCAACTTCTGGGTCTCCAAATTGGGCACATGGCCTGAGCTTGCCCTTTATGCCCTGGAGGTGCTGGCCTGCCCTGCAGCCAGTGTATTGTCTGAACATGTATTTAGCACGGCAGGGGGCATTATCACAGACAAGCGCAGCCGCCTGTCGACAGCCAGCGTGGACAAGCTCACCTTTATTAAAATGAACCAGGCATGGATCCCTCCAGACTTGTCTGTACCTTGTGCAGAATAGACATTTATACCGGCCTCACCCAGCCATTGTTATACTCAAGTGCACTTATTCTTTGTTTCCTTTTTTTATATGTCCCAAGATTTTGGGGACTACCCCAATTGTTTGCAGGGCACTTGTCCTACTCTTACCCCCATTTTACTTCCTTTTGCAGCCCTCTAGCCTTTTCCAGGACTTTTTAGAGCCATTTTAGTGCCCACAACCCATTGACTTCAATTGGGTTCGGGTTCAGGGTCAAGTTCAGGTCAAGTTCGAAGCCGAACTCAAACTTTTTGCCGATGTTCGGCCGAACCCAGCGAACCCGAACATCCAGGTGTCCGCTCATCTCTACATATAATGTATTTGTGCCTTTATAGGGGTTGGTGCCCCCCAAGTAAACATTCCAAAGTTTTTCATTAACCTGAAACTTGTGTCTGGTGTGATTCACTTCAAGCGTGCATGCACCTATTTTAAATAATTTGGACCGGGGCAGATATTGAAATGAACAAACACTTTGTTTGATCCACAATATAATAAGTGTGGGTGCACTTAATATTACAGTTATTAAATTACGGTTGAACAGGCATATAGCGCAAATTTCAGGTTTTGTTTTGATTAAAAATGTATATAATATAATTATTATTATTATTTTATTATTTATATAGCGCCAGCAAAATTCCATAGCACTGTACAATGGATGGACTAACAGACATGTAATTGTAACCAGACAAATGGACACACAGGAACAGAGGGGTTGAGGGCCCTGCTCAATGAGCTTACATGCTTGACGTAGTGGGGTATAGTGACACAAAAGTTTATAAGTAGGGGTAATTAAACAGGTTGCTAAAGAAGTATTCACTGGGAACTTAGTAGGTTATTTTTAACAGTTGCAGGAGAGGAGTCATGGGAGGGGGGGAGGAGGGGGAATAAAAATCCGCTAACAGTTTAAATGAAATGCTTTCCCGAAGAAGTGTGTTTTCAAAGATTTTTTGAAGGAGTGGAGACTGTGTGAAAGTCTAATGGAGAAGGGAAGGGAGTTCCACAGAAAAGATGCAGCCCTGGAGAAGTCTTAAAGGCAAGCATCAGAGGTGGGAGTATGGACAGAGGATAGGCATAGGTCTTCGGCAGAGCGCAGGGGCCTTGACGGGACATACTTGTGTATTAGGGAGGATAGGTAGGTTGGAGCAGACTATAGGTAGGTAAGTTGTAGAGACTTGTAAGCAAGCACCAGAATCTTAAATTGAGCCCTATATCTAGAAAGCCAATGTAGGAACTGAGGAAAAGAGGAAAAGAGGAAGGAGCAGTGTAAGGTGCGGGCATACAGGAAAATTAGCCTTGCTGCCATGTTCATAATAGATTGCAGCGGTGCAATCTAGGAACATGTAAGACCACTGAGAAGGGGATTGCAGTAGTCAAGACTAGAAAGAACAATGGCATGGACCAGAACCTAAGCCGCGTCTGGTGTTAAATAGGGGCGGATGCAAGCTATGTTTTTGAGATGGAAGCAGCAAGATTTGGTGATTGACTGGACATGAGGGGTAAAGGAGAGGTCAGAGTTAAAGAGAACACCTAGGCAGCGAGCCTACGAGGTAGAGGTGATGGTGCCGCCGTTTACTTGGAGGGAGACAGACACGGGAGTAGCAACACTTGAGGGAAGAAAGACCAGAAGTTCTGTTTTGGACAGGTTGAGTTTAAGGAAGTGAGCAGCCATCCAATTGGAAATCGCGGAGAGGCAGTCAGAGACACGAGTCAAGATGGGGGGAAAGAGATCAGGAGAGTACAGTTAGATTTGCATTTCATCTACATATAAATGATAATGGAAGCCAAAGGAGCTGATGAGTTTACCGAGGGAGGCAGTAAAGATGAAGACTGTTGGGACCAAGTACTGAACCTTGGGGTACACCAACAGAGAGGGGTTGGTACAATTGACTCAGTCCTTAAGGGATTAACCAAGCAAGGTTTACCATTTCTTTGCAACAATGTAAGACAAACAAAAACAAATGGAGGCTATCTGAAAAACTTAAAGGATAAAAGTATATATGTCTATAAGGTCACAAGTAAAAATAATATACAGACATGAATATGATCATTTTCTTAATATACAGCAATACTTAACTTTATAGAAAAGAGAAGAGAAAGACAAATAATAGTGCAACATTTAATGTAACAATGGAAATATAGTTAAGGTGTCAAGGAAAAAAACTCATACTTTATTGAGCTACTAAGAGTTCTGCTATATGGGACATTGACGGTATAACCCCCGTCTTGGGATATAAAATGTAGCCAAATCTGTTCTTCATAACAGATTCCAGCATGATATGTAGAGAGAGAAAGAATATCCAATGGTACAGTATAAAAGCAAATGCCAAAGACAAATATAAAATATAAAAAGTCCAGAGCAAAGACCTGTTCTGGTGGTATGGGGCTTTGATGGTATAATCCCCACGTGGGATATGCAAAAAGTACTTTCGTTTAAACAATGCTATAAAAAATAGGACATAAAACAAACAAAATGGAATATAAAAAAAAAAGGAAGAATACCAGTCCAGATATAAACAGTCCATATATGTAAACACTTGACGCGTTTTACCAGAGGCTTTTTCAAAATTGTCTTTTCCTTAGGCAACTTTCCAGTATACATAGGGGCATTAATAATCTTTAATTTCTTCCCGGTGTTACTTTCTTCCTGTTTTTAGTTTGCAAACATCACCCAGAAGTGACATCTTGCAATTGTGCAATATCCGTCCTTCACTGCTGACATCTTGTGTATGTGGATCGTCAGCCAGAAATTACATCCACGAAAAGGTAGCAGTCTGTCATTTTGTCAAGAGTAAATATAATTGGAAACACAGAGCATGTGCATTTATGCCCAGAAACATACATACACACACATACATACACACACACACACATTTATTTTACCAGGATCCTAGCACTCTGGTTTCTGGTCTTTATAGTGCTCGGGTACAAACTCCAGCCATAATATAGTAAAGATGAGTGCACTCTGGAGACTGTAGTACTACAGTCTCCAGAGTGCACTCATCCTATTTCATATATATCTACAAATAATGTTTTGATGGCACATACTGAATCATAAAAGTACTATAATCAAAAGGTTGAAATAAAAATACTGGTAAATAAATAGTTAACATATTGTGAAATATGAATGGTATAAACAAAAGTAGTTATTGTTAAAGTAATTTCTGTTAAACAATATTAAGACCTATTGAATAAATACACATTTTCACATGGTATTATGTGCACATAGATTTGAACTAAAAAATAAAGTTAACCCCTTAACACCGTTACAGCATTCAGCCCCAGAGCCGCAGGTCTGGCAAATTTCTTGCAATTTTTAATGTGTAAAAATTGAAAAGGGGGAAAGCCCTATATCTAACTTTCCAAAAAAACCATAAAACCTCTACATGGGGGGGTACTGTTATATTTATGAGACATCACTACACAGAATGTACTGTATTCTGTTCAGTGATGTCTCTTGGCTGTGTCCTTAAGTAGTTAAACTCAAGAACCACATTGAAGAAATAAAATAAAACCATGAAATATCTAAGAATTATGGTAACGCCAAATTAGTGGTAGAACAGTACTGATAAGAGGAAGAGACTTGGAAATTAAAATGGATACTAAAACACAGACTAGAGTAAGATTAGATGCACTAAATTGATGTAACTATCAATAGAAAAATTGTATAGAAAATAATATAAAATATAAAAATTCTTATAAAATAATTAAACAAATCAAAGTCTGCATTAAAGACAATTTGAGTGTGTAGTATCTAGATAGTATACCTACTATCTAACTTTCCAAAAAAACCATAAAACCTCGACATGGGGGGGTACTGTTATACTTATGAGACATCACTGCACAGAATGTACTGTATTCTGTTCAGTGATGTCTCTTGGCTGTGTCCTTAAGTAGTTAAACTCAAGAACCACATTGAAGAAATAAAATAAAACCATGAAATATCTAAGAATTATGGTAACGCCAAATTAGTGGTAGAACAGTACTGATAAGAGGAAGAGACTTGGAAATTAAAATGGATACTAAAACACAGACTAGAGTAAGATTAGATGCACTAAATTGATGTAACTATCAATAGAAAAATTGTATAGAAAATAATATAAAATATAAAAATTCTTATAAAATAATTAAACAAATCAAAGTCTGCATTAAAGACAATTTGAGTGTGTAGTATCTAGATAGTATACCTACTCAATTTCTAATTTTCCAAGTCTCTTAATCATATCATCCTCTCTGCATTGATGGGTAAGTATAGCATTCCCTATAAAATATTTTGTTTGTCTAGTTAATACATGTTTCCATTAAAATAGGGGGATGGGAGCATACTGCAGAAAAAGTGGCATCAGTGCTAAATGTTCTATTATTTTGGTAAAATAAACTTTAAAATGGATATCTCAATGTCATTGTAGAAAATATCCCTTTTCACAGAGAAATTCAGTCAGAATAGTGTAGAGCTCTACATGAGGAGCCATGAAATGCCAGTAAACAAATAGCAGTCATATAGAAGCACAGCTGTTTCACACAATAAAGGATACAATAGCTATACATTAAAATTATTGGTGGAAAGAAAACAGCTCAGCATTGCTTTCAATGTATGTAAGCATCAGCAAGTTAGATGGATATAAAGGCCCTTCATCGTGTGTAACAGCAGAACTTGCTTGAGCAAATCAACTCATCACTAAAAATGGGAAAGGTAAGATTTAAAACCATGGTTAGATATGTTTGAAAAATATAAAAAAATGTACAGGTTATTGCTGACATGTTTGCAGCGAAAGACATAGAATCTTATGTACTGTAAAGTTAATTTTGATAGGTAGAATACATAACAAGTTTAAAAATCTAAACTAGATATTTGAAAAATGTAGCTTAAACTCAAAACAACTCACCAAAATCAGCTTACATTTGTTTATAGTCTTTCAAATATATACAGCTATACCTAGGTTTATGTTGAAAAAAAAAATTAACCTTCAGCAGTTTATTCTTAAGTAAATGTATTATCATTTGTCACTTTCCACTGGTGTAAAGCTTTGGTATTACACAAGAGTAAAGGCATTTGCACAGATGCTCAATGTATGCAGCGAAAGACATAGAATCGTATGTACTGTAAAGTTAATTTTGATAGGTAGAATACATAACAAGTTTAAAAATCTAAACTAGAAAAAAAATTAACCTTCAGCAGTTTATTCTTAAGTAAATGTATTATTATTTGTCACTTTCCACTGGTGTAAAGCTTTGGTATTACACAAGAGTAAAGGCATTTGCACAGATGCTCAATGTACTGAGAAATGCATATATTAAAATCAGATACAACATTTATTTGTAAAAATATAAAAACGTTTCAGCAAAATAAAGTAAATGCTAATTTAAAAAATCTAAAGCCTATAATTATTTCCATAGATCATTTTCTACGAGGATCGTAACTTTCAGGGACGCTCTTTCGATTGCAACTTTGAGTGTCCAGATTTGTCCTCATATTTTCAGCGCTGCAATTCCATCCGTGTAGAAAATGGAAACTGGATCTTGTACGAGCAATCCAACTATAGAGGATACCAGTATTACCTTAGCAGAGGAGAATATCCTAATTTTCAGCAATGGATGGGTTTCAATGATTCCATCAAATCATGTCATTTAAGCCCACAGGTAAATACCTTTCACAGAAAGGTAATGTTTCCTGAAACCTACAAGAAGTTTGTTACGAAGTTAAATATTATATATTAATATATTATATTAACTAATTTGGGCCCAATCTACAAATTATACAGGTTTCAATTCTGAAAAATATAACCTTCTTCTTTATGTAACATTATTAACTATTGTATGCAATCTTTCATTTCATAACCGTATTACTATTTAGTCGCCATAGGGATAGGTATCAGGAAAAACTGCTCTCAGAATTATTTGATATTTGCATGACATGTTACAAACTATTATACTGTTATTTCAAAATATATATTTTTCTGGCTTCTCTTTAAGCACCATGGCTCATTCAGACTGAAGATCTATGAAAAGGATAATTTCCAAGGTGAGATATTGGAATTTGCTGAAGATTGTCCTAATGTCTATGAGAGATTCCGTCACCATGACATCCACTCTTGCCATATATTTCATGGATACTGGATGTTCTATGAGGAGCCTAATTACAGGGGGCACCAGTATTACCTGAGACCAGGAGACTATAGAAGATATACTGATTGGGGTGCCGTGAACTCAAAAATTGGCTCTTTCAGAAGACTCTATGATTTCTAATAAAAGATAGTTATGTTTATTTCATTGTAAAATGTTGAATTCATTAAATTTCCTAAAACATTAACATTGTTGTGGCATTTTCTATTATATTTTGTTGTGCTTTACTTTTTACTGTATCAATACAGGGAGTGCAGAATTATTAGGCAAGTTGTATTTTTGAGGATTAATTTTATTATTGAACAACAACCATGTTCTCAATGAACCCAAAAAACTCATTAATATCAAAGCTGAATATTTTTGGAAGTAGTTTTTAGTTTGTTTTTAGTTATAGCTATGTTAGGGGGATATCTGTGTGTGCAGGTGACTATTACTGTGCATAATTATTAGGCAACTTAACAAAAAACATATATATACCCATTTCAATTATTTATTATTACCAGTGAAACCAATATAACATCTCAACATTCACAAATATACATTTCTGACATTCAAAAACAAAACAAAAACAAATCAGTGACCAATATAGCCACCTTTCTTTGCAAGGACACTCAAAAGCCTGCCATCCATGGATTCTGTCAGTGTTTTGATCTGTTCACCATCAACATTGCGTGCAGCAGCAACCACAGCCTCCCAGACACTGTTCAGAGAGGTGTACTGTTTTCCCTCCTTGTAAATCTCACATTTGATGATGGACCACAGGTTCTCAATGGGGTTCAGATCAGGTGAACAAGGAGGCCATGTCATTAGATTTTCTTCTTTTATACCCTTTCTTGCCAGCCACGCTGTGGAGTACTTGGACGCGTGTGATGGAGCATTGTCCTGCATGAAAATCATGTTTTTCTTGAAGGATGCAGACTTCTTCCTGTACCACTGCTTGAAGAAGGTGTCTTCCAGGAACTGGCAGTAGGACTGGGAGTTGAGCTTGACTCCATCCTCAACCCGAAAAGGCCCCACAAGCTCATCTTTGATGATACCAGCCCAAACCAGTACTCCACCTCCACCTTGCTGGCGTCTGAGTCGGACTGGAGCTCTCTGCCCTTTACCAATCCAGCCACGGGCCCATCCATCTGGCCCATCAAGACTCACTCTCATTTCATCAGTCCATAAAACCTTAGAAAAATCAGTCTTGAGATATTTCTTGGCCCAGTCTTGACGTTTCAGCTTGTGTGTCTTGTTCAGTGGTGGTCGTCTTTCAGCCTTTCTTACCTTGGCCATGTCTCTGAGTATTGCACACCTTGTGCTTTTGGGCACTCCAGTGATGTTGCAGCTCTGAAATATGGCCAAACTGGTGGCAAGTGGCATCGTGGCAGCTGCACGCTTGACTTTTCTCAGTTCATGGGCAGTTATTTTGCGCCTTGGTTTTTCCACACGCTTCTTGCGACCCTGTTGACTATTTTGAATGAAACGCTTGATTGTTCAATGATCACGCTTCAGAAGCTTTGCAATTTTAAGAGTGCTGCATCCCTCTGCAAGATATCTCACTATTTTTGACTTTTCTGAGCCTGTCAAGTCCTTCTTTTGACCCATTTTGCCAAAGGAAAGGAAGTTGCCTAATAATTATGCACACCTGATATAGGGTGTTGATGTCATTAGACCACACCCCTTCTCATTACAGAGATGCACATCACCTAATATGCTTAATTGGTAGTAGGCTTTCGAGCCTATACAGCTTGGAGTAAGACAACATGCATAAAGAGGATGATGTGGTCAAAATACTCATTTGCCTAATAATTCTGCACTCCCTGTACAGACATCTATAACATTACATATTATTGGAGATTAATTTCGGGCTGAACGGCAATTGGTTCGGGTGATCAAAATAAATTTCTGTGTCTGAGCATTCTTGGACCAATTGTTTCTTGATTCAGAGTGCTGTTCCTGGTACCAGAAAAAGAAGATGGTGGAAAGGAGAAGAGGCTGTTTCTTTTATTTTTTTGGTTGGGACAAATAAGCAACTCAGTTTCCTATGATGTGGGCTGGATGTCCTGTCCAATCAAGGGGTAGCAAAATATATGAGTCGGGGAAGGAACAATAAAACAACTATACTTCCAAACAGGATTATTCTAGACACTTTGACTTCAGTTACAGAGGGAGACAGACCAGCAGTTATACTGTGTGTCTTCCCTCTATGCCTGTGCTGGAGTGGGAGAAACCCTGGGACATTCATTTAGTGTGAGACAAAGTTTAGCTTTCTGTTGAATCTAGCTAGCAGCTACTGCTGGGAACACTTTAGACAACTTTTAGTTGTAAATAGGAGTTTATTTTTGTTACAAACCCATTACAGACAAGCATTATGTTGTTTCTTTGCTATAATATTGCCTCGGTACTTCAATCCTGTACCCAACTCACGAATGGATTACTTAAACTTAAACGAATAATGGACCCCCCGGTCCCTGGCGTGTGCCGCCGCTTAACCCCGGTCACCTTTCAAACAACCAAATGAATGACCACCCTGCGAGGGGAGTGTGTTACCACTTGATCGCCCAGAGAGTTGCGTCTGCGGTTAACCGCAGGTTAATTGACAGCCTCCGGGCATTCTCGTTCGTGCCTTATCTCCCGATAGTCTAACTACCGAAAGGGTCACGAACAGGGACCACCTACAGCCTGGCGTGTGGCCTCAGTTAGAATGTTGAGTGTTTTGCGGTTAACCGCAGGTTAAGTACCTCCTTCACAGCGGTCTACGTTCGTCTCCTGAACAGTGGAAACATCCAGCCAGAGAGCGGGGATTTGTGCACAACTCTGGCCGTTACTCGTTCCACGAGTTTGATGCCGAGGTCCTGCTGCCTATTGACTCACTCAAAAACATGGCCGCCATCTCAAGCTCGGGACCAAATATGTGAACGGACTTTGCAACGTAGAAACCAAGCATATGGTTCGTGGGTTTGAGGCGCTCTTCGGTGAACTATTGCACCCGGACCTGGGCTACAGAATGAATGGTGGAAGTCCCGAAGTATAGCTGAAAATGTTGAAGTTATATATTCTTAACCTGTTTTTTATGTGTAATAAAAACGTAGTATTTTGGGCGCTTGGAGATAATTGTATTGTCATAGCCGTTGGATTCATTATCTCCAAGCTGGGCGGTAACAAATTCAAACGATGCATTTTATTCTTATTGGTTGATCCCTTGTATTATTCCTGTATCCCATCAGGTCCTGAGGGGTCTGTCCCTGGACCTGAGATTTTGCATAAATACCAATCCCTGTGTGCCATTAAACGGAGTTCTTGTTTGACCTTCAAATCGCAGCCTCGACTCGTTTTGTGGGGAAAAGAGTATCCTAGCTGTACAATAGCTAGTGGGAATGTTCTACATTTACAGGATTCTTTTGGTCGTCTAGTCGAAGCGGCTTCTCTCTCTCTCCAAACCGGGATCCAGATCATCCAAGCGGTCCAGCTTCCAGCGAGCCTGGGGGTAACCATAACAATTTTGTTAAGTGATTTGAAGTGGTCATGGCGGTAGGCGTCAGTATGTGCAGTGCTCCAAACAATACCCACAATAAATGTAATAATGTTCTTGATGTGAGTAGATTTATTAGAATTCTGGCTTTAAAAAATTGGCTCTTTCAGAAGATTAATTTCACAGCTACTAGCGAGAACAAGGAATGAAGTCCTGTTTTCACTCACATTGATTTAAAACCCAATTAAATGTTGTAGCCTATTAATCAGGTGAGCAAATTTATGAGTGCTTTTGTGGAAGCAATTGCATCAGATTTTGATAAAATGCAGGATAATATCTCCATTCATGAATATAATCCAACAATAAAAGGAACATAGAGAAAAAAAATGAGAAATATGTTATAATTAAGCTTACTGATAAGGTAAGGTGACATAGTTGTTATGAGTTCACAGTTTTGCGAAGAAATATTTTAAATGTTCATTCTACCTATTGCAAACTGATTTGCGATCCTGCCCCCTTAATAAGAAACACATTTGTAAAACTGTTGGAAAAAGGTAGAGTATTGGGTAGAACAGAAAATTATATATGCTAAGGTTTGAACCAAATTTTCAACCAGGGCATATATTATAGTGGAGTGCTGTAGATAGTAAGTGAGATGGATAGTAATACTCATCAAATGTTCACGTTGGTATTAATTACATAAGAAAAAGGGGTCCGAGAAAATACAACATAGCGTAAGTCTGTTAAGAGATTAATTCCAGATATTGGAAGTGAATAATGCCAACTCAAATTTAAAAGAGCCTCTGATAGGACACGCTCAAATTGCAAACAATTCTGTGCCGTCTGGTGGCACTTCACCCTTTGGTAACGTGAAAGGTTTCCCTCAGGAAAAAAATATAGAAATGGAAAAACTCCTATGGTGAAGTATATAATATCTCAGTAATAGTATCACTTTAAAAAGCACATGTATTCTCACCTTTTCCAGAGCCTCTGTTACCTGGCTCTTGGTGTGTACACTTAGGTACCTATATAGAGGGCTTACAGGAAGCAGAAGGGGAGGTGGTCAAATAGGGCTAAAAATTATATTTATTCCAAATAAATAACATTGTATAAAATACAAAAGTAAAATAGATTAAATTAATAAACTGGAGATGTCCCAAAATAGACCCCTCTTGCCGAAATGCCTTTCTCAATCGGTGTATTGGGTGTTCTTTATAATAAGGAATACAATTATATTAATATATTATATTTCCAAAGTGCACAAAAATGAAAGAAGACCACCAGAATTCTATTAAGGAAAATATATCACAGTATGTTGATTTCCTGATCAAACATGGCAGCATTCATGAAAATGCTTATGTAGGTATGATCCTATGTGTTTCGTCAACCTTACAAATAAACTGTGAATAAAAACATATTGAATTCAAAGCAAGCTAAAAACCCTCCCACTGAAGTCCTCATTTAATTGCTCAACAGAAAATGTTGCAACAATGTATGCACTAACTATTGAATAAAAAATAAAAGCTAACTTTCCAAAAGTGTATAGATCATAGAAGGTACCAGTTATGTATAATAGCCAATTAACAGAATCTTGTCGTGGTATAGCTAAGCCAATTAAAACAATTAGAACATCAAAAATATTGTGAAAAATACATATTATAAATAATAAAATGAAAATAAAAAAGGGATATCATTTATAATAAACTAATGTGTAAGACAAAGAAAAACAA